GAGGAGGTGTCCGTCCATGAATCTGGTGGATACAGTCTGTTTGGGAGAGATTTAAAGTGACAACCTGAAGTTGGTGAGACTTTGCAAATGTTATTTGGCTGAAGACAAAGCTGAACTTTGTGTTAATATGTTGCAGGGAAAAACATCTGTGAACTTAAAAAAAAAAAAAAAAAGTGGGCAGGAAGCCCTAAAAAGAAGTTTGCCAGTGGACTACATCCTTAATGAAGCTAATTCTCACAACACGTAAATTTAATTTCCTGCCGAATGCAAATTCGGATTAATTTTCCTGAATTTGGAATGAAACATGCTGAATGCAAATGAATCCGAATTTTGCAGTAACGAAAATTCAGATGCATCCGAATGCCATTCGGACTGTTTTTTTGGTTAAAATAATAATAATAATAATAATAAAAAAAACTGTGTCAGGTTTCCCCTCCCAATCCGTACCAGGCCCTTTAAGTCTGATCGGGATTTTAAGAGGGGGAAAAAAGACAAAAAAAAGGTCGAGCACTCAGATTGCCATAAGCCCCCCTGCCCGCAGACCCCACAACCAGTCTGGTAGGGGGTTTTAAGGGGGACCCCACTTGTCTTTGTTTTTTTTTGTGTGGAGTCCCTTAAAGTTCTTCCCAGACCTAAAGGGCCTGGTTTGAAATGGGAGGGGAACCTTTAAGGGGGACCCCATGCCACAAAAAAACACAAAAGTGTGGGGTTCCCCTTTAAATCCCTTACCAGACCCTTGATCTGAGCAGTAGCCCAGCAGAGCAGCAAAGTGGCCACAAGGGAAGTGTGTTTTGCCAGGGGTGGACAAGGCAAGCACCTTGCCCCCTTGTTGATGAGGACAAGGCCTCTTCCCCACAACCCTGGCCCAGTGGTTGTGGGGGTCTGTAGGCAGGGGGGCTTAGTAATCTGAGTGCCCAGATGCCACCCCCCCAGGTGAATGAGTAAAGGGAAAATGTTACCAAGAAAACACATAGTAATTAAAAACCGCAAGGTGTTTATTAATAATAAAAAAACAACAAAAAAGCCCCACGTTGTCAATCTAGTGTTGATCATGTCATCTGGCGATGTAAATCTTCCCGATCCTGAAATCTCAATGCAAAAAAAAAAATATTGCCTAAATGTTTACAGTAGGCAGTGCGTGAGAAATAAACAAAGCCTGCTATTAGCTATTTCAAATTGCTGGCTTTTGCACCCACCCACTGCCTTCTGTCAATCCACAGAGGAGCACCTGAGAGAGAACTTTCTCTCTCAGGTCGGCTCCTTGGCGGATTGCCAGCAGGCAGTGGGCGGCAGCAATAGCCAACCTACTATTGGCTATTTCAGATTTCATTACCCAATGACAAGCTGGCTTGGCTCTGCCCACTGCCTTCTATCAATCTTCAGAGGAGAGGATCTGAGAGGGAACTTTCTCTCTCAGGTCCATTCCTCTGCTGATTGATAGAAGGCAGTGGGTGGGGAAACAGCTATCCAGTTATTGGCTATTGCAATTTAAAATAGCCAATAGCAGAATGGCTATTGCTCTCGCAGAGGAGCGGACCCAAGAGAGAAAGTTATTTCTCAGCTCCTCTCCTCTCCGGATTGACAGAAAGCAGTGGGGGAGCCAAGTCAGCCTGCTATTGGCTTTTTTTCAAATAGAAATAGCCATGATTATCATGGCCCTACTAGGTATAAAATATGTAAACTTACATTGGGCCAAGCTGGACTCGTGTAAGTATACATAAATAATTATACCTGGAGTTCAGCGTTAAGGATTATTTTGTGGCTACAACGATTTTAGCCTTCATGTTCAGTGAATGCAAGTTAGCTCAGTCTTTGTTTAACCACTTAAAGTCCGCAGTGTTAAATCCCCTTCCTGTCCAGGCAATTTTCAGTATTTAGCGCTGCGGTACTTTGACTGACATTTATTCCGTCATGCAACGCTGTACTGAAATTAATTTTATACAATTTTTTTGGGGACAGATAGAGCTTTCTTTTAATGGTATTTAATCCCCACTGGGGGATTTTCTTTTTTACTATAGTAAGGAAAAATGACAGAAAAAATGTTTCCCCTATATTAAATTCTAAAACATTTATTTGGTAAAACAATTCTAAAACAATTTTTTGGTAAAATATAAAAGGCGGGGTCACATCGGGTAAAAAGACATTAAACATGTCAAGCCTTAAAATTGTGCATGCGAGCAAAACCTCAAAAAACGACATTACCCAAAATTGGCCATAGGCGACGCTTTAAAAGCTTTTACCGCTTATCAGTAATAGCAAAGGCACACTGACAGGTCCTCTTTATGGAGACATTAGGAGTCTCTAGGACCCCTAATGTCACCTGGGGACCTGCAACCGATCGGCGGCTGTATCGCAATATACAACCGATCGGCGACTGTATGTGAAACAGATGGTAGCGGCTGTAAAGAACGGGCAAGTTTATTCTGCCCGTGCGCGCGTGCTAGGGGGTGCGTGTGAGCAGGAAAAAAATGCCGTCTGATGACAGCAACCCGCCCGTCCGTTTTTTCACAATGGGTGGACGGCAAGCGGTTAACCAGGCCCCTTTAAAGTGACATTAACGTGAATTTTCCCCCCCTCCCCCCAATGTTAATTAAAGCACTTACCTTAACCACCTCTCGTCCGCCGAATCCATCCCGGGCGATGTGGCTCTGTGCACTGAGAACGGAGAGAGATCAGTACACAATCTCCCTCCGCTGTCCTCCCGGTCTCAGAATGCAGGAAGTGATGTATATTACATCACTTCTGCATTCCTCTGTCACTCTCCGGTACAGAAACCGGAGAGAAGCTGATGAAGCACATCTGTGCTTCATCAGCTTCTCTGGGGGTCCCTAGGTGACATTAGGGGTCTTAGAGACCCCTGATGTTTCCATAAAGGGGACCTGTCACTAATTTGTTATCACATAGGGTACTTCTTAGCACCCTATTGTGATAACAATAAAGTTAAGTGTAAAAAAAAAAAAAAAAGTACAAAAAACAAATTGCTCACAAAATAAATAAAATGTACACACACACACACACAAAAAAACCCCACAAATTTTTTTAAAGTCCCCCTCCCCACATAGATGAGCAAAAATGCGTTAGGTGCACCTACACGCAAAAACGACGATTGCTCTAATTATGCCGCACATGTTACATATCACCACAAACGTCGCAGTGAGAGCAATAATTATCAGGCCATTAATCACTGATAACACTAAACTGATGAGTGGTAAAATCTTTAAAAGCGTCGCCGATGGCCAATTTTGGCTATGGTCGTTTTGTTGTGATATCGCGGGCACGCGCAATTTTAAGGCTTGACATGTTTGGTGTCTATTTACCCGACGTGACCCCATCTTTTATGTTTTACCAAAAAATTGGGTAAAAATAAATGTTTCCTAAAATAATAAAGGGAAAAACTTTTTTTTTTTTTAAATATTCGGTACTTTTTTTCTTATATAGTAAAAAATAAAACCCCCAGTGGTGATTAAATATAACTAAAAGAAAGCTCTGTCCCCCAAAAATTGTATAAAATTCATTTCAGTACAGCGTTGCATGACGGAAAAAATGTCAGTCAAAGTACTGCAGCGCTGAATACTGAAAAATGGTCTGGGCAGAAAGAGGGTGTAAATACCCCGGTCAGCAAGTAGTTAAATGATGTCCCTTAATCCAATCTTCCTCTTCTTTCCTGTCCTTTTCAGCCTTCTCTTCAGCGCTGCTGTGGGTCTCCGATGCAGCGCTGACTCCTCTGTCCTTGCTGTCCCACGGTGTCTGCATGCGGGTGCACGCATCCATAGACTTACCTTGCGTCTCTCCTCGTCTCCCGGCCGAAAATACGAACTGCGCATGCGCCCGCCCCAAAATGCTTTGCGGCCACGAGCATTTTCAGACAGGAGCGCGCGTCGAAGACGGGTGCGTTTAAAAAAAAACTTTTTGCATTTATCTACTGCTTGCTAGCAGTAGATATATGAAAAAACCAAGAGGGTTTAGAAACCCTTTGAGCTATGTCCACTTTTTACCACAGTATGCAGGGCCGCCATCAGGGCGGTACGGCCGACACTCATGTAAGGGGCCAGGCAGCCTGTGGGGCCCTCTCGGGACCCCTAAATGAGTATCGGCCGACAGTGAGGGGAGAGGAGGCGGCCGGGCCCCTAGCAGCGCAGGGCCCCAGCGTTGCCGCTCCAGCGGCTTCCAAATAAGCTGGGGTTCGCTGCGCGTCTGAATGGTGACTGACCGGAAGTGACGTGACGTTAGTGCTGTGACGTCACTTCCGCCCAGTCAGATGGGAAAGGAGGCATGGGGTGCAGGTAAGAGGAGCTAGATGGGAGGGAGGGGGGTGCAGGTAAGAGGAGCTAGGTGGGAGGGAGGGGGATGCAGCCCAGCCCTGCCCAGCTGAGACCCCTTCAGAGCCCACCATAGACAGTCTCAGAATGGCGACAGGCGGGGGGGGGGGTCCCGGCCCAAAGCCGTGTAAGGGGCCCCAGAATTTCAGTATGCACCACACAGTGAGCCTCCTCTCCCCCCTCCCAAAGTCCCTTTTATGTATGTTCTAAAGTTGGGAGGTATAAATTATGAATATACACTAGTACTGATCCCTACACAATGTGTCAATAGTAGTTCTATTATTAGGCACACCCTGGCTGTCGCTTCTCATTTTAAGACTGTGGCGTTTTGTGGCAGAAAACAGCATTTTACCCTGCAGCAAGGTAAACATGTTGCCATTAACAACTTTTACCACGGAACTATATCACTCCCTCCAATGCTACACCACATGACACAACGCTTCCTCTCACGTGTTATGCGTCTCTATGACCGTAGCCGCTCTGTCTAAACTCTATGGTCATTAACTTTGTGCGCTCCAGCCAATTACATCATGGTTAACCCTATGAGTAGGCGTAGTTTAGAAAATGTGGGCGACCCGAAATGACGTAGAATGTAGTTTTGCCTGATTTGCAACTGGAGATTTCGCCTCAGAGATTGGGGCTGTAGTGCGGAGTGGTCGTATAGCATTCGCTTTACTTCGGGGCAACCGGTATCGTATTTCCTCCTTTCAAGCACTCTGCTCCGGTTATGGAAGCTGAGAAGATGGACGAGAATGAATGGGATTACCACGGAGAGGGGAACAAAAGCCTAATTGTTTCTCATAGTCAGGTAAAGAGGAACAGGTCTGCAGTACCTGGTCATAAAGCGAACAGGATGCTGTCAGTGTACAGTTTTTCTTTATGGTGATGGGAGGCCGCTGTTTATTTTGCAATAAACACATTCACGTGCGTATACTTAATCTTGAGAACTCTTACGTCTCTATGTAAGCTTTTTGTTGCTCTCTAGGCCTTTGTGAACATTTTCTGTCACATGAAGTGAGGGATGATCTGCCCAGCAGGAACCCAAAAAGCCATAACCTGACAAAGGTTCTTACCCATCTCCACTTTTTAATTGCTGTTCATGTTCCCAATTGATAAACTAGTGTCTTGGTAATAACTGTTGCTAGGGCAGGAGTTACGAGTATCTTAACCAGTGGGGGTATAGTGATGAATATAAACTTGACAGATGTTTGTTTGACTCCTTATTCAAAAGGTCTAAAATGGTCAAACAATGGGGGGATTTATGCATGCGTTTGTGACACAATTTTTTGCAAAATATCATGCTAACCAACAACAAAGTTTTTTTTTATTTTTTTTTTATCCCTATTAAATGCCTTTTTGAAGTGTTCTTGTGACAGATTCATGTTTGCGACTCACTGAACATGTTTTGCGACATTTCACCATTTCTCAACTGTACAGTAATTGCATTTGGGACATTAAAAACCCTCAACTGTCGCACATGTCCTCCTGGGCACTTCTTAAAGTATTGCAAAGATAACTCAACCTCATACCCTCCAACTCAGCTAAGTACTTAAGAGCTATTCAGATATCTAGGAGGTTCCCTGCAAGCTTCCTAGCAGAAAAAAATTGCCGTCTGGAGACGCCAACCCGCAGATGTAGCAGTGCCGTCCGTCCGTTTTTTTACTACGGGCGGACGGCAAGAGGTTAAAGACCATTCTCTTAATGAAGGCATATAACTATGAACCCTAAACTAGGATAATAAATCTGTCACTATATGAACTAGAAATCAGGGATTTAACAATTTAAATGACGCTGAGGAAACAAAATTGATAAATTCCCTCCAATGCTTTGTATGTAGTTTGTAGCAATGTGGACAGTTTACTATCACTGAGTAATGGAGATGATGAGGAAGAGGGAAAAAAGTTATGTTTAATGCTTTTGGGCAGTCATTTGGACATTTGTATTTGTGACAGTGTTCATACAGCAGGAACGGGGGTGTGTGTGTGTGTGACAGAGGGTCGGCTGTTGTGTGTCAGCGGTGGGTGAGGGAGATCAGGGGGTGGAAAATGTGGCGGCATAAAGATTTTTGCAGCACCGTGGAGATGACAGCGGGAATAGCAGGTGGTGAGCGTGAAGGGGCACCTTGCTGTTTCGCCCCTTGGAGTGTGTGTCTCACTGTTAAGGTTAGGAGGAGTTTAGAGCTACCTGGTCCAGGTTCTTGACGTTGTCAAGTACTATAGAGTTGACGTAATGATCAACCAAGATCAGGCTTTCGGGAGGAAAGTCCTGCAAGCTGTGGCCCCCCCCCCCCCCCCTCCCTAATTGGGAGTATGGTCCTCGCTTATTCTCTCTGATGCTGTCCTGGAAGGTGACTAGAGAAAATTAGAGTTGGGTACCTGGTAACTCTGTTGATAGGAACCTTCCAGGACAGCAACGATTCCCGCCCGATGTTGGAGAGTTTTTATATTGGAATATATTTATATAGTTAACAGTCTAACAGTGTTGTATCCTTCGGTTCTTATATTTTAACTGAGGGATGCAATGCATGTGATCCTTTTTTTTATTAGGTGTGGGTGATGTGTTTCCTGTTCCGTTGGGAGGAGACTATCTCTCTGATGCTGTCCTGGAAGGTTCCTAGAAACAGAGTTACCAGGTACCCAACTTAAATTTTTTTAAACTTTTATCACTTTCATTTTTACATTTTATTATCTTTTTTTTACTTTTTTATAACTTTTTTTCCACTTAATTTTATTCCTATCACAAGCTTAAAATCCCCTATGTGATAGTTTGGAGTTGACAGGTTCGCTTTATGGAACCTGTCACCTCCAACAAAGAACAGATGTTCTGTGCAGTTCCTTGACAGCTGAGACAGGTAGCGCTCCGGTTGTGGTGAGCTCATGTGCCGTGGTCATGGGTCCCCCAGCGGAGCTGGGACCCCTATAACCACAGCGGGGGGGGAGGAAGGTTAGAGGACAATATCGACGATTTAATAAAAGTGATCTGCTCAGATCACTTGTATAAAAACGAACAGCTGCTCCCCACTGTACATTTAGCTCTGCTTATCTGGAGCAGGGCTAAATGTACAAAAAAACTACTTGCTCGAAACTGCATGTCCCGGGCGTCGGGCGATAGGAATTCCACACCCGTTATGTATTTTATTTTAAATTAAGGATGGTATGTATTTAATTTTTTTTAAATCCAATTAATCGAAGAAATAATCGGCCGACTTATCGATTTGATAAAAATAATCATTAGTTGCAGCCCTTGGGCCAGCTTTCAGTGGGCGATTCCATTTTTCCAAATTACTTGGGGAAAGCGAACTTACCCTTTAATGTGTATTGTGCATGTTATAGAGTGCCTACCACAATATGGCACACAGTGGACTGGGGGCAGCGTGCACACACAATGCCCTACACATCCGTTTATTTGCACGCAGATGGCGAGGGGGTGGGGTTGGTTTTTATTTTAACTTGTATTTATTTTACATTTTTTTTAAACCTTTTATTTTTTATTTTTTATTGATCACTTTTTTTTGGACTTAACTTTATTGATATCACACAGGGGCTAACGAGCCCTATCATTCAGAGGTGACAGGCTCTTTATGAAGCCTGCCCTCCAGTACAGAAAATCCAGAATTACATTGTGCTGGGTTTTCTTTACACTTCTACATGTGACAACTGACGCAGAAAGCGCTGTGAATCAGAGGAGATCAGAGAACGGACGTCCCCTACGTCGGACGATAGGAATTCTGCACCCCTTAGCCTGCATTGCATGGACAGCACAGAGACCCAGTGATGTAATTAGCATGTTGATGAGGGGGATAGGAAGCAGGGAAGGAAACCTATAAGCAGAATAAAGTTGATTTTATAACTAAAGATGCTTGGCTCATCTTCCTGACTACTGCAGTTCTGTGGATTTTCTTCTACAAAAGTAGCAGGTGTAGCTAGTGTTGTGACAAAGTCTTCTGACACCTCAAGGCCAAAGTGTGCCCAGTACAGTGTTGTTGATTTTTTTTTTTTTGGGACAGTTGACATCACCCAGTGTCTTACAGTACCGTGGCATGAACACACTATATTGCATAATCAAAGCCTCCCTGCATTTTGTGGCATGAAGGGGTGTGCACTGCAAGATCTTTTTGCGATCGCACCACACTGGAACACAGGGCATTGGAATGCACTGGATGGTGTGAATGGGCCTTTACAGTTCCCAGCACATATTTCTCTACACATGCTGTGAAATCTTTTATTCAAACTAGAAAACACTGTATTCCTGTATATAAACAATGCATTATATTCTTGTTAAAATACTACTGTAAGAATATTAATTTATATTCCTGCTGTATGTGCCAGAGGTGTGCAGGGCAGCATAGTTTGCTGTCTTTGATGCAAGTAGACTGGCAGACGGCATGATGCAATCATTTTTAAATACCCAGGGCAAGAATGGTAATTCGTGATACACTTCAGTAAATGGTGAGTGTGAAGATGCTGGGTAGGGGATCACAAGGCTACCTCATTTTTTTTTTTTGCAAGCCCAGCCATTGTTGTTTTTCTGTTTTTAAGCCTTTCGATGCCAAGGTGCTTTTTTGTTTTAGTCCAGATTTTAGGCCTGTAAAATTACTTAAACCCCTGAGTTTCTTATTGTCCTCTTTATCCGATCCATTCTCGTTGGATGAACTAAAAGTCCGGGACCGCATGGATTATCGGCTTCTTTTTACAAGCAGTTCAAACAGGACCACTCTCTGTGCAACCTTTAACGCTATATCTGATTTAATGCACTTTTCCGAAACAGTCCCAGGAGGCACATATTACTTTAATCCCAAAAGAACACATGGACCCCAAACAGTGCGCTGGCTATAGGACCATCTGTTTGGTCAACGTTGATTTGAAGAATATGCCAAATTGCTTGCTAATCCGATTCATCCCCTGATCCCCTAAGTTATTCACCTGGAACAAGTGGGGTTTGTTCCTAGGCACTGGACATCATCTCTTGCGCTATGTCTGTAAGTTCCTCAGTCAGACTTTGCTATGACATTTTGACTAAACTCAAGTCCCCGGGGAGCGAATCTCTTCCTTGGCTCCAACCAAAAGAGAGACCTGCTTGCAATACTTTTCCTATCTTAACTCCTGCTTTTCTGGAAGTGTGGGACCATTGGATCTGGAATCTTAATATTTAATTTATAAGATTAATCTCTTCCTTGGCTCCAACCAAAAGAGAGACCTGCTTGCAATACTTTTCCTATCTTAACTCCTGCTTTTCTGGAAGTGTGGGACCATTGGATCTGGAATCTTAATATTTAATTTATACATAGGTCCTATGACCCTCATCTTGGGAAATGTAGACTCCCCTCTAGGCATGGAAACCACCCTTTTTCTGTGTTGGCACCTTGGGGAACCTACTCCAAAATCCTTGGGTCTCCCCTCGCAGGGCCTCAAACATCTTGTGGACTTGGCTCCTTTGACTGGCTCTCACCGCAGCCAATGGCTCCCTTACCTTCAACTCAGACACTTCTATTCTCATCTTATTCCCCTTGGGTTCTCTCCCGAGACCACTAATTCCTATTGAAGACTTCTGTTAGAATAGCAGTGATAGGTCTCACATTATTTCACATTTCTATGCTGTCGCTTTGTCTCATGCATACCTCACTTGACCTTAATTTCTGGGGGATTGGCAGAGAGAGCTGGGACCTCTGATTGGGATAAGGCTTTTTTCCTGACGTTTAAAACTAGTTTTGACTGTCTGACTTGGGAATGGAATTATAAGATTCTTACTAGAGGGTATCCATGTCTGACTGTTGGCGCTGTGGTGATGGAGTGGGTTCCATGCTCCACA